TTCCCTTTTAACTGCTGCCTAATATTCCACCCTATGGTCACTGCTGTGTCCTTCAGGCTGGGGTCATGTGCATCTCCTGGTCATTGTGGGGAGAGCTGCAGGCATATCTGTGTGCACACACTCTGTGGGGACGCTTGCCTGCAGGCCTCTGTGTGTACTGGCTAGTGGGGCTGCAGGGCCTCCGGTAGCGCTGTCACATCCAGTCCTTCCTGCTGTTGCTCCTTTGCTTTCCTCGTGTCTTGTCCAGCGGGTCCAGGGACTGACCTCTCTAACTTTCTTCTTCATCTTCTTTTTCAAGCTTCTCCTTCTCCTCCAGTTTCCATTCCACAACTTTGACCTGGTTTTCTGGAGTGGCGAATCCAGCAGCCAGGGGTGATCCAGCTTTTTATCTCCATTCCCATCTCCAGTACTGCTGCAGCTGACCATGGGCGACCCTTGAAGGAACACGGCTGAGTCTGAATCTGAGAAGACGGACGAGGTTCTGAAATCTTCTCTAGTTCACACAGGAATCCCTGCCTTGGACTATGAGGTTGTGAGGTTTCCAACTTATTTCTCACGGGGGAATCGCCATCGATCTCTGGGTCCTGCCAGGAGCCGGCCTAGAGGTACACTGGGGTCCCTGGCACCTGTGCAGATGGAGACCTGCTGGCTCCGCGACAGGCTCGCAGCCACCCGCGGCTCCTCCCACTGTCTGTGTTAGGAGATGGTCGTGATCCCATGCCCAGGTCCCCGCCCGCACTCAGGTCCTGTGGATCACAAAGGCAGAGCTGAGGTGACTTCTCCCCGCCTGTGTGGGCACCTCCACAAACACTCCTCTGCAGTTCCAGTGTCGGCTACCGTGGGTTTCCATGGGAACCTGGGAGCGGGCAGCCGTCCGAGGTACTGCCAACACTCCTCCAACTTCCTATAGCAACCCTGCCTCCTTTGGTCCCTACAGGTTGTGCTGAAACAGACCTTGGTGGCTTCCCAGCACGTCCCGTCAGTCTTTTGTCTGCGCGGCAGGACGCTGGTTCTGATATTGGGCTCACAGCCTGCACAAGTGGTTTCCCAAGTCCTTCTGCAGTAGGGTGTAGAAAGGTGGTCACATTCTGACCAATGAGGAGCATGAGAGAAAGCGGGGGTCAGCAGGAAAGTCATTTAGGAAGAGTTGTCCCCACAAAGACCTTTCTAGTCACTTTTCTTTGGCCTGAAATGCAGATGTGATGACTGGCGCCCTCATGGCCATCTTATCTATGAGGATGTCAGCCATGCCTTAGCACATCAGGTGCCTGGGACCCTAAGGGTACCCAGGAACCGCTTTACCAGCCCTGGCCCGCCTGTGTTGTGGCTTCTTTTATGTGAAAGAGAAATTTCTATCTTATTTATGCCATTCTTATTGGGTTTTTAAAAAAATTAAACAAATGATCCTAAATGATCCTGACAAATATAGTTTGAGGCTTGTTTAGCACGGCTAGTCATCCTAACATGATATAGTCAAGATTTCAATCCTATCTGGCCAGATCTGAAATACCAATTAAACATCAATTACTCTTTATTTACGACAGCTCATTCTTTTACTTAAAACACATTTGTTTTAAAACAAAGCACATTACCTACAGTAAATGGAAAGTCAGTACTGCCTGGAATAGGCAGATGACGATTAGAGAGACAGATTAAACTGTAGCTGTTCAGTCCTCCTGTCTGCAAGCTATCTGCAAAGAACAGAGGCTTTGGAGACATATGGTACTCTGGGGGAGATGGATTTCCTCCACTCCACAGCCTTGCTAGGGACTGAGCATAAGCTTCTTTCACTTTTCAGGTCTGTGTGACACCTGACGTCACCCAAGATCTGCTGAAGGTGAGCCTGGGAGACAATTGTGTTGAAGACCATGCAAAACCCGGATGCCTCGTGACCTATCACCTGAGTAGAGGCAGGGTCAGGGTGAGCAAGAGTCTGAGAGGCACCATGGGATTCGAGGGACAGAGTATAATGATTATCTGCTTCTTTTCCAGAATGGGAGCCAATGCTGCTTAGTCAAGACAGATCTGAGCGCTGCGATAACATTCACATCAGTCCTGTTAGGATGAGAGGCCCACAGCTCGCGTCTTCAAACAGGGAAGGTGTGTTGCAGTGCAGATAAGGATCTGCAGAACTTATCACTTCCACTAAAGTGTCTCCTTAATCCACAAAATTACACCTGCCACAGGGACTTAACTTCATTAACGCGACTCCCTGATCCGCAGTGGATTATCACAATACAGAGCTTCCTGTGCATCCCAGTGACCATGCTGCCACCAAGAAGAACAGCAAAGCAGGCAGGAAAGTTAAAGGACCAAGAGAGCCAAGCAGTTCCAGGAGCAAAGCAGCTCCTGCGGTTAAAACAGTCCCTGGACGATGCGCTTCCCAGCTGTCCTTACGGAAAGAGTGTCCCCTCCCTGCCCTTGGCCCCTGGCTGTCATGGTGCAAGGCTTCCCTCATGGAATTTTCTATAGCTGAGAAGTTCCAAGTGAGGACAACTGGTGAACATATCAATCAATGTATTCAAAGTCTTCATTTTCATCCTGTATGTTTTATGAAATAGCAAAATCCTCAGGCAGCCCCATGGCTCCCTGCAGACAGTCATTACCCACCAGCCTTCCCCAGCTTCCGGCTTGCTCTTCAGGAGGGGCAGCCTATTGTGCGTCCCTCACAGGACACTGTCTGCTCACAACAGGGCCCTTCTCTGTGGCCCAGATAGAGTCTTAATGCATGTGCTCTAGACACCTTCCTATTTCAAACAGGTAGATTAGAGGCCTTTCAGTACAGGTGTGCACAGATGTTATCCCACTACACACACTAGCAGAAACATGGTCTCCCTCCAACACTTCTTCAAGGAACATTTGTAGACAGCCCTTTGTGTACCCAACATGCCATTAGGCTTGGCACCCAGCTGCAAACCAGCCTTGATTCCTAAACCCAAAGAGCTTCCAGCTTAGATTTCCCTCATCAAGCAATGCCTGCTGGATGTAATGCAATGTGTCCCTCAGCAAGTATGTCATGTGACTTACATGTCACATACAACATGTGCATGTAGGAGCATGCTTAGATGGATGTGGCCATATCTATGTGCACACATGATACCTTTTCTGAGCACATACACAGAAGGCACTACACATACAATCATATGTGTGTGTACAAACTTGCTTTTTCTATTTCCTGCTCTGAGGTCAAGTTTCCAATCCTGGCATTGGAAATGGTGAGGGATGAAGAAGTTTCTCTAAGCAGATGGTGCAGGATACCAAGCCTCTGGAGGCACCTGAATGTCCCACGAGGGCCTTGTCTCTCAGAGAAGACACTGACTTGGATGAAAGAAGAGCCAGAGGCAGCAAATCCATGTGCATTTAGAGGGTGAGAATCTGGAAATCCACAGAAGAGCAGCTTCACCTCCATGGTAGCTGCCACCCTCCACCCTCGGAGGGTTCTAGTCTTCCCCTCTGTGCCCAAGAGAGATTTAATTATAATCAAAAAGTCAAAAGAAATAAGTTTAAAAAAGTGCTTATTAATGGTTCAAATCCTTTCACAACTCATAGAAAACATTACAAATGCCAATTCTAATAACTCAAGACAGTAGATGGCAAAAAGAGATCACAATAAAAAATAAAAGAGCATGGGTTGAGACCCTTTCCCCCAAACTTACCTTCCTCTTCTGGTAAAGAACAAATTATCCATCCATTATCCATCCATTCATCCATCCATCCATCCATCCATCAATCTACCCATTTTTTCATCCATCTACCCAACTGTTCTAATTTTTGCAGCTGTCAACACACACACACACACAAAAAAAACTTCTGCAGAGAGAGCACCTCGTGTCCCACGGCAAGCTGTGGACACTAACCATGCACATGTGTGGGGTCATCCAACCCACCCATGTAGCCACTATAACTGCATAAACACCAGGAAGGAACTCAAAACTCAAATACACACTTCCTCTTTCTCCTCTCATTGGCTCCACAAGTGAATCTTCAGGGGGAAAAAAACATCTTCAAATACTGGCCACAAGAGGAAGAGGACAAGCTATCACTGCTGACGACCCAGATTCTCAGCTCCCACATTGAGCAAAGGGCACAGAAGGGAATTCAAATCGAATCACCCCCGAATTGGGTTCCAATGCTCCTTGGTAATGAACCACGGAAAAAAAAAAAGTAATAACTGTCAACCGAGATTCATTACCTCTGTATTATAATAAATAATGGAAAATGAATACATTTTCCAAACATGGAGCTATGAAGTTTAAAACTTCATTCCAGAAATAATGGCCTACATACCCAGATTCCTCCTTTCATTATTGTTCAGATTTTCAGCAATATGAAAAGCAAAAAAGAAACCTAAAAGTGACAAAAATGTGACCAGACTAGGAATTCTCCAGAGCCACAATGAGATTCTGAGAAAGTGGAATAAATCAGAAATTACCGAGTCTCCAAGTCTCTCTCTGCCCAGCTGTGAACTGATTGTTTCTAATTTGGTGGGTATCAGAGACAGATTCGGGTTTTAATTTCTCCCCAGAGTGATTCACAATTCCCTGTAATTCCACAGCCAATAGTTCCCTGATCCATCAGAATATGCCTGCACACAAACACCATCATACTGGGCAATGTGGGAGGCTCCCTGTGCACAGGGAGGATTGCACTCTGGCCTTTGACGCTTGCAAAATGGGCCACGTTGCAAGATGCCCAGACTCTGGGCTCACCTAAAGCTGTGAGCTAGCAGGAGGTCATGGGGAAGTGCAGCCTGGTCTGCAGATCACTCCACCTGCGTGGAGTAGTCCTCACAGGTGCCAGAGCTGTGCTGTGGTTTGACAGGTCCACTGTGAATTAGAGTGCATTGTTCCCAGCCGAAGGAATCCGTCCGTCCTGCTGCAGGCACTAATAACAACCCACTGAACACAGTCACCATGCAGACAGAACTCAGCGATTGTAGGGAAAGGCCTCCATCACCTCCACAGTAGATGGACACAGGTTGAAGCCAGGGTGTGACTCACCTGTTTTCTGAGCCGCCAGACTTCTTCTGACAGATGATGACAGCTGGCGCGTACCTCCCGGTGTACTCCGCGCTCTCCTGGACATCCCAGATGGAAGGGCTGCTGGCTCGCACGCCCACGATGTTCACACCCTTCTTCACCTTTGCCCTGTTGGAGACAGGAAGCCATGTCTGAGACGCTCTGGGGCCCTGGGTCCTGCTGGTGGGAGCAGGCCGTGAGCTCATTCACATGCTGCCACCTTGAAGTTCAGAGCTCACGAGCAGTAGCAGTTAAATACGAGTTTGCCACCGCCTCCTGCCCCCCTGTTCTTCCCAGGTACCCCTAACTTTAATAAAGATAATACACTGGCCTGGAGCAAACCAGACACAGGGGGAAACAGAGGATCTTCCTGCTGCTTTATGGCTTTAATTAAAACACCATGGGCACGTGCACACACACGCACACGCACACGCACACGCACACGCACATGTACACGTACATGCCTGCCTGAAAACCTTTACATTGGGAAAACTAAATGGAAACAGGAAATGAGCTAAGCATGCAAAACTACAGGTTCTAATAAGGATACACCTTCCCCGAGAGCCCCCTGCTGTGTACCAGCAAGTGAGGTACCTAATTTCCCCCAACAGCGATCATGTTCACAATAGGATGCTAAAGTTGAGACAGGAGGGAACACAGGTGGCCCTAGGCACCTGTGGGCACCCATCTTATCTACATAGGTCTGCTGGGCTTCTCATTTTCTGCTCTTTCTAGGTCCTCATCACCGCTGCCATCACGGTCCCCATGATCGCCCTGTCTACCACGTCATCTCACTCATAGTTATGGAGGGCTCACCACACCCTGGATGCACAGCTAAGTTCACCACGAGCTTTTTTCCTTCCATTTCACAAATGCACTCTGCAGTCAGGAACAGTTTAATTTTTGCCAAGCAGAGGGGAACGTGGGTTTCCCTCGGCCCATGGCCAGATGCAGGATCTGACCTGCAGGCACCTGATGTCTGCTGCCTCCCAGTGAGCTCGCCAGAGCTGGGCTGGTGGACCCCACTCTATTCTCGCCCTCTGCTACACAACCTTTGTGAGCGTGGTCATGCCATCTGATGTCTAGGCACACCTCATTCAAGTGCAAACTTCCCAGAGCCCCCTGACAGTGCACACTGGCCATGTCCCCCTCTGACCAGGGAGGGGTAGGCAATATGCCCACAAGTATTCCTCCAAGGCACCAGGGACTCTGTTCCCTGGAGGAAGGAGAAGAAGGGAGCCCAGAGCTGGTGGCCTCAAATGTTCCTAATCTTCCCTAAGAAACCTCAAAGGAAAGTGCACATGCAACAGTGAGCATATGGAAACAGGATACCACAGTCATCTGCTGCCGGATTCCTAAGCTGCCTTTGTGCTTGAAGAAACCGTGATTCCCACGTGTCTTCTCTTTCTTGTCCCTTGTGGAAAGCAAAGATTTTGGAAGCCTGGTCACTGAGGTGACTGGTAGGAGGCAGCACAAGGTGGACTGATCCCACGTTCCAGGTATCCAGACAGCAGGATGTGAACCTTGAACCCTGGCTGTTATCATCAGAGGAGGCAAGTGAGGCCCCTGCTCCCAGGTAGGCAAGGTTGGAAGAAGGTGACACTCCCAGTACTGGAGCCTGCAGAAAAATTGAGACATGACTGCCCCCAACTAAGGACACTTTCAGGAAAGGCTCCCCACAGCAGACCTGAGGCAGCCCCCTCCTCACAGCAGGGCTGGCACCTAGGAGCTAGGGTCCAGGAAGTCCCTCCAGGGCCTCCTTGGTAATGGTGAAGGCTTTGGGCTCAGATGTGCAGACAGTGGAGCCCGCACTGACCTGTCCCCAGTGTGGCCTTGATTCCCAGGCTCAGGATATACGGGCCACCAGTCCCCAGGGGGGCCCTGACTCCAGGCTCAGGGTGTATAGATGAATGGTCCCCAATGGGGCCCTGACTCCCAGGCTCAAGTGAGCTTCCTGAGGGGACAGCCCTCAGTGTTGTCACTGCAGGACATTCTGTGACAGCAGCTGGAGAGGACGCTGGGTGTTGGCTGCAGGTCTCCCTGCACTCAGTTCTGTGACTTGTCCCCCTGCAAATTATTCTTTGCATCCCCTCGTGGTAATAATTCTTAGCAGTGAGTGTGACTCGATGTTGAGTCCTGTGAGTCTAACAACTTGTTGACCTTGGGGGTGATATGAGGTCTCCAGCACGTGTACTGATTTGCCCCTGAGTCATGATGCCTGCTTTGCTGAAACTCAGTCATATTGTTGACAACGAAGACTTGCTAGTTAAAAAAAAAAAAAAAAAATTCAATTCACTGGGACAGTGACTATTACAACAAGATGAATTCTAAGGGCTTTTCCAATTACTGTGCCCTGGAACTTTATTGAATCACATTTGCTTGAAACAAATAGGTTACTGGCCAGATTTTTGGCAAGCGTTCTATTATTTGGGAGATATACATGGGACTTTCCTGACATATAATGGGTTTATATTTTTTCTTAAATTTTATTTCTACAGTAGGTCATTTGGGGTTAGGATAAAGTTTCTCCAATGAAAAGTTTTCAAGTTCTTGAGATGAGACAGGCTACTTATTTAACCTGGGCAGTACCAACATTTGTTGTTATTACTATGTTGTAGCTACCTGGAGCTCTCCTGGAGGGTAGTGTCTCTAAGAGCCAATTCTTTCTGCGATTTAGAGCAGGATGTGGGAATTGCCATTCATAAGTATGGGACAACATCCTAAAAGAAGGTATGTTGCCAGGGCGTGCTTTGGGTGACCTGGCGAAGGCTGGTTTCCGGAAAGGGGTCCGTGCACCATGGGTAGTTATTGATCATGAACGACGTCAGCTACTGAAACTCACTCGTCAGGGAAACAGCCCCAGAGCTTACCAAGCACGTCTGCGTGGTGTTAATAATTTTGAAACACTTATCTCAGAGCCGCAAGTGGCAGTGTTTGGAACGTTACAGCAGTTCTTAGAACTCATGCGGATTGGCTCCACTGGGTCTGAACCAAATGCTAATTTCTTCTTTGTTTATGACAACTGAGTTACTTACAGTCATTAATGGAAGTTTTATAACCTACTTGTGGTTCAATAAATACAGGTTACATTGACAGCCTCATTACACAGAGATAAACATAGTACTTGATTTCCGAAGACGCTTTGCTGCAGATTTATATTTAATAATATATCTACCATGGTGATGAGGGGAAGGCCATAATTTTCCCCAAAGCTCTCACATGCAGGGTGGATTGCCACAGCACACCCTGCTTGGGCTGGGGGGATGCCATGTTTATAAAGCACAATGAAGCTCTACTCTATGTGCAGAATACATATGAGCTCAAGCTTGTATTAAGTATGATATTAATATTATGGACATAGTGTGCCTACAACATACACACACTATCCCAAGTAGCCAGGCACATGATTGACACAGCTGAGAACAGCTGGGAACCTGGATATAGAAGGGATTGCAGGATTGGTACTTTTGCCCCTCCCTGACCCACCCCTCCCATTCCAGGTAGCAGTAGCCTATTACATGTTCTGCCCTTGGTCAACCTGCACCCTGATGATGAAATTGCCATCAAGCCTTCACCCTGGGCAAGAAGTGGCAGGGGACCCAAGCCAGCCCAACCAATAGCTGTCTCCCTGGAATTTGATCATAAGAAAGAGACGCAGCAGAAGAAAAAGGAGCAGGAAATCCATCCGGCACTGTGGCCCGTGACGCCCCTGTGCTCCACCTCCCTCTCTCTCTCTGGTCCCCCAGGATTGACACATGCAAGTGTTTCTGAACCTGGCTTGTTCACTGTCCTTTAGCCAATGAGATGCTTTCCACCCTCCCTCCTTACGTGAGCCAGGCCTGACTCTTTCCATTTGCCATTCTATGACAAGCGGAGGCTCAGCTGCTGTGACAGTGCTCCCCAGGTTTGCTCACTTCAGAAGCGAGGAGTGGGATCTTGTCCTCTGTGGAAAGGCACGCCTGGGATTTCAGGTCAGTGGGTTTGTTTTGGCTCATGGATTCAGGGGTTCTATCCATGATCAGCCCACTCTGTTGCTCTGAACCCAACATCACAGCAGGAGGGTGTGGTGGAGGAAAGCAGCTCAGGACACAGCAACCAGGAAGCAGGAGAGAGCGAGCTCCAGGACAAAACAGAAAACCTAAAGACAACCCCCACCAACCCACCTCCTCCAGCCACACCCTGCCTCCTGCAGTACCCCCCAGTTAAGCCACCTCAGTGGATCAATGCAATGATCAGGTTATAACTCTCTTAATCTAATCCTTTCACCTCTGAATGTTCTTGCATTGTCTCACACATGAGCCTTTGGGAAACTTACATCTAAACCATAACATTATTCAGTGACACACAATCCCCTCCTCCACTGAACGTCACGCACCTACACCAACTGAGGATTTGGTAACAGCATCCTTCCTGGTTAACTGAAGGAGACATTGGGCAAATGGTTTGTCCAATAATTCGAAGTCAAGCAAAAACCCTTTGAGGATTACAATAAAACTTTCTGAAATTATTTTCTGTCTCCTCACTTATTTTCTGTCATTAATTGTGGCAAATAAAAAAAATAAGCCCCATTTTCTTAGATGTAGTAGCTGAATTACTATATTTGCAATCTTGGCGTCTAATTTCTACTTGACCAAAAAAAAAAACATTTGTATGGCAATATCATTTGCTACCAGATCCACATGCATCATAGCTTATCACCTGTCACTCATTTTCAGAGCCCATTTCAGTCCCAGCCTGCGTCTTGACCTTGGCCAACAAGTCTATGAGTGCACTTGCTCAGAGGTCACTTCAGTCCTGCTGAACCATGCCCCCTGCTGCCTTGGTGTAGCACTGGCCTCTCTGTGTCCCTGAATACTATTGCTAAGGCTCCTTGTCCTGGCTCAGCACTGCTGCAACACACACAGGACGCCAGACCACAGGGAGACCTGAGATGAGTGCAAGCCATGATCTACCAGCTCAGATGCCCACTTTTTAATCGTGTACCCTACCAGTAAATGCACTTTGGCATGCTATTTTGATAGAGGCCTTTGATTTTACAAACTTTGTACTTGGCCTGTTGAAATTATGTGTGCTGCAAAGCATAACGAAAGTAGAAAATGAAAGTATCAAGATAAAAACCATAAACATGC